ACAATCCATAAAATTTAACAAGTAAGAGAGATTAAAAAAGAAAGACTTTAAAAAAAAAGAATCAACTGTTAATTTTTTTAATGATGGTCGTAAAGAGATTGATCTTTAAGAATAAAGAGTGAAATATTCTCTATCGAAAACTAAATTGGTATAGTAAATTTTTGTATTTAGTATTTATTTGGTTTCTAAAATTTTAAAATGAAYTCTTTTTTTTTTTTGAAATATTAAAATGAATACTTTAATTTTTCATGTCTTGTGATGAACATTAGTTTGACTAACAGAAAGATTATGTGACTTTTTCTTTTTTTTAGTTAGACTTGTTAGCTTGACCAATTATATTTATTTTATTTTATTTTCTTAGGATTCAACCATGTGAATTAGCATGTTCTCATCTTTCTTCATTGATTTTGATAATTGTAATTAGTATATTTTTTATTTTAAKGTAAAAAATATAGATTTAGATATATAATCAGACAAATAACGTATATATTAATTGATTTTAATATCAATAATCACTGATTAATTTAGATGTTGAACAGTGATACTCATGAAAATTAATAATTATGAGTATTTTAAGAGTTGATCAGTTGGGTCGGGTCAAGGAAAATTATGTACATGATTCGATTATCTAGTTTATACAAGGAAAATAACATTTTTGGTGTACTTATTTTCGAAAGTAATGATCTAAAATAGTTAATTTCATGCAAAACTGTTTTCAAATTTTTCTCTCCAGCCTCTTTTTTTTTTAAAATTATAAACATATAAATTAAATGTTTCTATTAAATTATTTATAAAAATCAATATATTGTTTTAAATAATTATTTAAGATAATAAATAATATAATGCTAACTTAAAATTTTGACATTTAACTATTTCTAAGAAAAATAAATTATTTTTTATAAAAATAATTGAAATAAATATAGAAAAATTATTATTATTTTTTGGATGGAGATTTATTGTGTTTCAATTTATAATTTTTAAATAAAAATATATTTTACAATACCAGTTATAGCACATATACTCTATTTATTATGCGTTTCTAAATTAAGCTATTTTATGTCATTCTAAATTAATTAGGAAGCATACTCCAAAAAAATAATAATAATTAGGAAGCACAACTATCAAGCGTATTATTAGTGCGCTGCTTGCCGCTGCACATTAGCAGAAAAAGTGAGTGAATAACGAGTCCAATAAGTAAGAAGTAAAACGAGCCTAGTTTAGCAGTAATTGACATATATTGTTGGAAATTATAGGAAGAATTAGATGAAAATGATTGTTGTGCCATTGATGACCCACTGCCTTGAAAGCAATTTCGGCACGACCATGGTGCTAAATTGTATATAGCCGATTGCTCCCCAAGGTTAACACAACACCCAACTCGAACGTGTACTGATCAGAGTGGATTGGAATCGAAAAACTARCTCAAAATTTTGTAAAGAAACAGAGAACATATCGAAATCATTTTTGTAATAAAATCCTTCTTAACCAGAMAATCTATATATATGAATGAGAAATATTAAACATAATTAATAGACTCAATTAATTTATAGCTGTTATAAATTAATGTCATGAAAACCAAATATTTAAGTATAAAATAATGGTTATCAAAACACAATAAACATAGTCTCCAAAAAAACCAATTTACTTTGTAAAATATATTTTTCCTGATCATATGAACCACATATTGTGTATAGAAAAAATGAAATAAATACGAAAAATAATACAATCATAAAAAACATGAATTATAATTATTCTTTGAAATCAAATACTAAAACTCTTATCCCAACTGCAATGCTATACTTTTATAAAACAAAAACTAAATATATATTTTAACCTCTAATTTAAATAGTTTCAATTTTATTCCTTTAACCTTTACCATTTTTCAATTTTATAATTCCTATAAAAAATGTTAAAATTAGTTAATGATAATTTGATATGACGTAAAAAAGACAAAATTTTAAAAGAGAATAAACTTATTTAAAAGTTAAAAATTTCTAATTCCTCCTCGAAATTTACATGAGGAAAGAAATTTCAACTTCTCTGAGTTTAGATACACAAAATCAAGTTTTTGTTTCTCAACAAATTTTAAACTAATTTATACATTTTTAAATCAAAGATATATTAGATAAAAGTGAGTGACACRTGTTCATTTTTCCTGCACAAAATCATTAGGCTCATCCTAACTTTATTTTTTAATATTATCATATGTTTACATTTTTATACTTTTTTTTTAGTACAATATATGTGATGGGGATTGAACTTACAACCTTTTGGTTGGAGATACAATTGAGCTAGGCCGCTCTAGAATTTTTATATGTTTACATTTGTATACTTATGTGTATGGATAATTGGATTGATTCTCCATAGATATTTAATCATATAAATTAGAATTCTTTGTTTTAAATACATACACCTATAGTATTAAATATCTGTCGAYACGTTGACATTTTCATTAATATTTCTATGTATTTATTGGTTCGATATCGACAACTCTATCCTATTACAAAAGGGAAATCGAAAATATAAAAAATAKAAATAAAATTTCACTAATATATATTTAATAATATTATTATTTTTTGTAAAACTGAAATTTTCTCTCGTCCCTACCCGGTACAACCCTAGACCTAATAAGTTGTGTAGGTTGGTATGAACAAGCACACACGTGTAGACTTTTCAATTTTCACACGGCTATAATCGCGTGGTCTAAATTGGCAATTCGAGATTTTTTTTTGTTTATTTTAAATTATTTATTATTATTTTGACGGTTTAAAGGGAGAGAGAGAARAATATTATAATAATAATAATAATAATAATAATAAATAATGGTCATAGAAGGCCTTCCAGAAATTTTCCATCCCACGCTTTGACGTGGCAAAAAAGTACTATTGAAGACGACATGTCGTAATGATCTTCTGTTGTCGTTGTCATGTGTAGTAGTGCATGTCAAAGGTATTATGTTTTGTTGGTTAATTCAAAATCTAGGATTCTTTTAGGAAGGATGGATTATCATACTAGAATTATAATTTAAATTCACATCTTTTTTCATTTTTAAATTACAAAAATTTACAAGTATTATTAAACATGCATACAATAATCATACCGAAAATTTTTACCATCATTAGAGGTTCGAATGATCTCCACCTACAGATGTTGTTTCAATTTTTTTWAAAAAAAGGGGAAAAAAACTTAGAAGCTATGTTAAATTACAAGTTTAGTCATTAAACTTTTATAGTTGTTGTTTAACAGRCTCTTGAACTTTTAATAAATCCTTAAATTTTAATTTTGTATATAATAGATTTCTGAACTTTAAAAAGTGTACKGTAGATCTTTAAACTCTTAATTTTGTGTATAATAGGTTCATGAACTTTAAAAGTATCCGATAGATCCTTAAACTTTCAATTTTAACTCTATGTCAAAGGAACAAAGTCTCTCATTTATTTGATATTTCTTAAAACTCAGGAATCTAATAGAATTTTGTGTCCAGCAAGTTTGAAAGTTTTAAAAATGAAAAAAAAAACACAATCAATAAAAGTTACAAAAAGTTCAACCAACAAAATACTTAAAGAAAATGCTCAAATTTAATCATTAAATTACTCAAATCTAGCCATTGAAACTAAACAAGTAAAAAAAAAATCCAAACTCAACAATAAAATGCTGAATTTACCAACATGTAAAAGATCCTAACACCATTAAAGACAAGAAATGGAAAACAAAGGGCAGAAAAAGGACTATATATTTTGGAGGATGTCAAGTTTGGTTGGAAGGAATTATATTTTTAACAAAGTTTAGAGATACAAAAATGGGAAAAGAAATTGTCAATCATTGTGGGTATTTAAAATTCTAAGTTCAACAAAGATTTTTAATTGCTTGAGATTTTTCTTCTTTCTTTTTTTTTTTCCTTTTTTTAAGGATATATATTTCAGTTGCCTGAGTTGGAAGCTAAATTGTTGACTTCCTTTGGCTGTAATTTGACTTTGGCAATGGAAATTAAATGTTGGGTTTTAGAAAACAATAATGTGTGTGCCCACCCAACACTAACACACCAAAGAAATTTCATCCCCATTTCTAAATCATTGCACATGAATTATACAAGAAATTAAAGGGTGTCTACCTAATGTCTCTCTTGAAAATAACGTTTTCTTCGTGTCTTTCACTTCATGAATCACGCGTTTYATTGAAATTGATAGAATAGCAAAAATCTATTTTACTTTTTTTTTTAATTTCTGTTGAGCAAGAATCATTTCACACAAAACTCTTGGATCACTGTGACTGAAGTAGAATTTTAACCTTGTGTTAGGACCTACGGACCAAGGGACAATCCCACGCTCTCTATGGCTAGGAGCCACTGTTCCTGAGTTTTTTGTAAATACAATAAATGGAGGTGAGAGATTCGAACTCATGACCTATTGGTCAGACTAGAAGTACCAATTATCGCTAAGTTAAGYTCATCTTAACCTCTCTTCCTACCTAAGTTATTCCAACATCCAATGAATTAYAAATATYTTTCAGTGTATTGATATAGTCTGTAACCTARTTTTTCAGACATAATTAAGCAAGGGGAAGAAAGCAAAAAGAAATGGGATCATCAAGTACATCCATCATTCATCATATTTTTTTAGTTTATTAAAGATATCTTTTTTGTCTCTGATGTAGATTCAAATCTCAAGTCGATTACATATCATTATATTATATTACATGAAAAATAAAGGTTCGAGCGTGTATGACTAACAACAATATAATATGTTTTTGAACGTATTATGACAATTGGATTCAGAAGCTATGAGCACAATCAAGGAGAGAACTCAACAAAGTTTCAATGTAAAGAACTCGAAAAATATACTTGTTGAATCGTGAGGTTGGATATTTATTAGAAACAACAATTAAATGTGTACAAGTCTCTTATCAATAAGAGATGAGCAGTGATCTCAATCTAGATTATGCATGTGCTATCAAATAGGAGTCATCTTACGAAAAAAAATCTTGTAATTGTTTTTTTCTTTTTTCTTTTTTTTTAGGAGTAGATGGTTGAACTTACAACATTTTTTATTGGAAATATATACTTAAAAATCTAGTATATGATCGAGAGTAGAGTGGGTTGGCTAATAGCCTTATAGATCATAACCTAATTACTTGATATTATCTCCTTCAATCCTTGGTCCACATAATTATTTCTTATTTTGTATTTTGTCTTTGATAAATTTAAAAATTGACGTTATAATATAGTTTACGATAGTTTTGAAATTCTATATTTTAAAATGTTTATTTCAAATACATAGCAAAATATATATATATGTATGACAATWTATATATATATATATGTATAACATTAAAATTGTCAACTTAGCATAGATTAAGATATATATCTCTAACCATAATGTCGGAAGTTCAAATCCTCACTTCCCACTGTTGCTTTACGAGTTTCAATTATACTATATATTTTGATAATAACAAACTTTATTTGTTGATATTTTTTGTATTTCAAAGTATCTATGGTGTGAGACCAAAGCTTTATGAATCACTAAAATTTGGAGTTCAAACGAAGGCAAAACAAGTTTGGGAGGAATATGAACTAATGGACCAAATAGCTAGATGTTTGACATGTGAGAATTGTGTTTACGGGATATACAATATGGTGGATGATATTACATAAATGTACATATTTTTGTTGATGTGGCATTCGATGCGGCAGTGTAGACGAATCATGTGACAACACGTTGCAAATTGAGCTGGCGGAATGGTAGGCACAAGCCGACCGGACGAGTGAGAGGACGATACAAGATGCATTCAAATAAATTCAATAATTAATAATTTCTACCTTTCCTTTAATTTCCAAATCTCTCTTGATCCCCACAATTTCTCTAAATTACCACAATTTTCTTTTTTCCTTTTTGTTATATTTCCTTATAATCTGAACATTTCATCGTTTTTTCTATAGATCTAATGTCAAAATATAATCCTCGAAATTCTATTTAAAATCACTAAATTTATCTTTCTCCTCTCCAATTTCTTAATCAAAATATGTTTTCCTTTCTTTTTAACCCTCCAAATCTCTAAATTCTCAGACTATCAGATATCAAAATTTTGCAATCATTGTCATGTGGGAGAGATATGATTAAAATAAATATATAAATATATGAGTATATTTTGCATCTTATCACACAAAATAAGATAATAAGTAATGATTCAACCGAACATGACAATGGACAAATAAAAAAATTCAATGAGTTTTTGTCATTAACACTATACTTAAGCCAATATAAACATATAACTCAGTGGATAAAATACTCATTACCATCTCTAAGATCAATGGTTCAATTTCTCATCTTATGAAACTAAAAAAATAGCATAACGATATTTAAATATCGACATAACTTAGTGGATAAGACACCTATTACAAACAAAAGTCGATGGTTCAATTCCCACCTCCACAACCGTTAATTTAGCGACAACAAATAACATACATAAGCAATGATCAATCAACCAAATAACCGTGAGTAGCTACGATATTACAAGTTTCTTCCTCTTTCCCGAATCTATAACTATCATTTATTAGTATTCATATGATTCCACCTCAATTCCAATTGGCAACGAGAGGAGTAGTTCATGTCTATTAAAAATTCTTGTTAGGTCCCTTATCCGATTAATGTGRGATCCTTAATATCATCAACATGTTCACTTTCAATGGCTTCTCGTATCAAAATACAAATTATCAAAAGTTGAGTGCCTTTTTCCGATAAATTAAGAGCAAATGATGATATATAGAAGAATCAAACCTAGCTAACACATATTAAACCAAATTTCAATGGGATTAGTACATTGATAGGTTAGTTAGAGACTATAATTACATAAAAGGATTGAATGGTATAAAATTTACACTTTTGTCATGAAACAACCCCATTTATGATGGTACCCATCACCCAATTTACTAATATATCCTTTCGTATCTCAAGCTCAATATTAATTAATTTTTAAAATCTAAAATTGGCTACTTGGGAGGTTACATTTTAAATCCCTTAAATTTTACCTAATTAAACTTTTTAAAAAGTAAAAAATATCAAATCCCAAAATCCTCCAGACTTTTCTTCTTCTTTTATGGTTATGTTTCCGTCAATTCCTTCGTCTCCGTTCTTCTTCGTCGTCGAAACAATCCGTCTAGCTTCTCCTTCGTCTCCGGCCGCACGTCCATTATTTCCATCCGTTTATCCCGAGGTTTCTTTTTTGTCGCCGACCGGAAGATTAGTAAGTTATTTGCTTTGTTGGTTAATTGTAGAGAGATATAGTCGTATATACTTTATAGCCAGATATATGTTACATCTCCATATATGTGTATGTTATAATGGCTATAGTTTATATCACCATTGTTTAGTGTATGTTGCTTAAAGTTTATAGTCGGATATAGTTTATATTTCCATATAACTGAAAAGGTAGTTGGATATAGTTTATATTTAGGTAGTCGGATATATATATATATATATTGTATGTTATAATGACTATATTATTGAAATTTGGCCTAAAAAATTGTAATAAAATGAAAAAATATTTGTAATAAATTTCATTATTTAGTAGAATATATCAAGGAGTAACTTTGAGGATTATGATAATAATTGAATATATTAAGGAATAAATTAGGAAATTACGAGGAGGATTGATTTAGGTCCCACAATAATTTAATGTTTACATAATCAAATTTAGAATATTAATCTTTTGCATTTAAATAAAAGATAAATTATAATAAATATAAATATCATAAATAAGGATAAATTTGGTATTTGAAAAAAATTTTAAATCCAAAAATCTAAGACGGTAAAATTGGTAAACATGAAACATTTGTGAAAATAAATTTACAAAAATAACTTATTCTAAGGCATTATCTCAATTTCAATAGAAGAATAAACTTGGAGACGGAAACGGAATAAAGGTAGGATTAGGAATAATAATAATAAATGTAGTTCTTAATCCTTATCCTAAACCAAACTAGACAACTGTACTGTTTGATAATAAAAAGGAAAAATCAATGGCTGAATCTCAATCTAGTACGAAACCGCAGGCTTCCAAATTTAATTATTTTGGAGGAGAAATCAGCCAAAAAGATTCGACGAATTGCACCAAAGTCCACTCAACTCCACAACTAAAATGGCCAAAATTCTTTCCATTTCGTTAAAATTCAATATTTTTTCTTGATGAACGCCAAATATCTAGTCACCCTCTACTTTCCGTCCATATCATTCCCCGCTGTCGTCCTTCACTTTCTCAGGAAACAAACAGCCGCTGGGTTTTCACAAACTGACAAATCCAAGCAACCCCAGATCCTCCACTCCGTTCATTTTCCCTCTTTTCTTATAGAATCGCACCCCCTTTTCCTTCTTCTCCCATGTTCTTCGTTTTTCTGTGATGGGTCTGAATCTTTCGGTGTTGTTTCGGCTGCATAATGGTTCTCCGGCGCCGTTGCCGGAGCCCGGGCTCGGGGATTTGCCGGAGAATTGTGTGGCGGCTGTTTTGGGGTACTTGGGTCCGCCGGAGATTTGTAAACTGGCGCGGTTGAATCGGGCGTTTCGTGGGGCTTCCTGGGCCGATTTCGTTTGGGAATCAAAGTTGCCCCCGAATTATGAGGCGATTGCTCGTCGGGTTTTTGGGGGTTTTGATTTGCCCCCGGATTTGAGTAAGAGAGAGATTTATACGAGGCTTTGTCGCCAGAATCCGTTGGATGGTGGAAACAAGGTAATTCGTCTTCTCCTTCTAGGTTTAATTCGACGATTTTGCAAAATTAGGGGAAACTTTTTGTTTTTTTTTTGAATTAGAATCGGTGGGTTCTGTTCTTGTTAGTCGTATGAGATCTTATACTGTGATTTCTGATGAATTTCTGGGAACGATGAAGAGGAATTTTCGAAGATTCGTTTGTTGAATTTTCTGTTTTCGTTTTCGTTTCAGAAAGTTTGGCTGGATAAACTTTCAGGCGGTGCTTGCTTGTCAATTTCTTCGATGGATTTGATGATAACTGGGATTGATGATCGGAGATATTGGAATCGCATCTCGACTGAAGAATCAAGGTCAGTTAGATTCATCAGAAACAAGTTTTGAAACTGAGCTAATTGGTTATATTTTGATTGCCTTGGAATGAATCAATCTGTGGGACTAGGATGTGGAATTCTCTGTTTGTTTCTTATCATTGATGTCGAGATTGGTGTTGAAAATCGAAACGATTCGTGCTCGAATTTCACGGAGTATGATCTTTGTTATCTAATCTTGATGTTTAATTATTTGCCTCCCTCTTCTCCATAGGATTTTTGTATATCTGTCTGTTTGAGGAAGCATGGTTCTTATGGAATGTTGTTTTTAAACCAAAAATTCCAAGTTTGGTAAGAACAATGATTTGCCAACCAATATTTGATTGGTATATATGGATGCTTATCGAATCGTTCTATTGAATTTTCGGAGGTACTAGTGTCATATCGATATCGTTTTTCTGTAGTGTTCTTGATGAAGTCTTACTATCTCACTGATGGTTGAAGAGCTGATGGAACTAACGGGTCCATATAATATAAGTTTGTATCATCAATGGAATATGATGCAAGATGTCACCTGTTCATAAGTCTTGTACTTCTCGTGGCACTCTCGGGATTCTGTTGCTTGCACGGCTTGCTCCGTTGAGCGGGAACTGATATCGGTTTTCCAATTTCTTTCCTGTAGATTCCACACTGTTGCATATCTTCAGCAAATATGGTGGTTTGAAGTTGGTGGAGAGGTAGACTTCCCGTTTCCACCGGGAACTTACAGCCTATACTTCAGGTTGCAGTTGGGTCGTGAATCGAGGAGGTTTGGCCGTCGAATCTATAACCTCGAGCACGTCCACGGTTGGGACATAAAGCCCGTGCAATTCCAGCTTTGGACTTCCGATGGTCAGCATGCCAAGACTCAATGCTATCTAAAGGAAGCTGGTAAATGGACTCTGCACCACGCAGGTAACTTTCTCGTCGATGGTCAAACCGAATCAACAAAGATAAAATTCTCTATGACACAGATCGACTGCACGCACACGAAAGGCGGTCTGTGTTTAGATTCAGTGCTGATTTACCCGGTCGAGTGTGAGCAGAGATTGAAGCGTCGTTGACTCAGGTCTGCATTTTGGTATAGTAGGCAGAAATTGTGTAAAAATATATATAATAGGTGAGTGAGATGAGAAAGGAGGTTGATATTTTTGGTGAAAGCTTCTTCTCAAATGACTGGCTTTCTGTTTTTGTGTAAGCCTAGAGTTGTTTGCTTGGAAAATGAGGCAATGTTATTATAAAATTGTGGCTGATTTTTTTCATTAATGTATATTTGTTGCCAGATGAATAAGAAGGGCTGTGTGAGAGTGGTTCTTGAATTATTTTTTTTTTTTTTTTATAATTTAAATTCTAACTACGCCGGTCTGCATAGTTCAACTGGTTAAAACGTATTCTTACGAGATCACTTTTTTTTCTCTCTACTTTGTAAAATATTAATTTTGATGGGGGATGTTCTCAGTCCCTGCACCCGCCTCATTTTCCATTTTAATTCTACTCGAAATTTATTTGGATTGGCGTTTTGATACCTATATTGATAATTAGATCGTGAAATTTACCTTTTAAAGATTTGTTGTATCATGATGTTCTTATAAAATTTAATAATTTTGCTTTTCAAATGACATTAGAATTTAAATTTTAACTAAAGTTTTACCATGGATAATGAGCTTTTAATTCGAATTAATAATAATAAATGGGAATAATTCTCCACGAGAACTCGATCCCAAGAAAATCCCAAATTTTATGGGAAATTTTGTGGGATAGAGAATGAAATGGACTCCCTTTAATGGAGGATGTGACAAGTTACAACACTCTTAATAATTACAAGAAAAATGTTTTTTTTTTTTTTCATTTTTCTCTCTCCTAGAAAGAAGAAAAATAAAAAATTATCTTCCTTTTTCGTTTCCATTTGTTCTACGACACAATGATTTTAGAGACATCTCCAACTTTTCTCCATCCCAACACCATGACCAAAAATATAATTAGACACCTTTTTCTTCGCATAACAATTATGAAGTCATTTTTGTTTCTATTCATATTTATATTAGTACCAACTCCATGAAAATRTCGATCTAAAAATATCGATAAAGTGTTGATGTAAATTCATAATATTTAAATTGAAAATAGCATTCCATAATTTTTAACTAAATTAAAAGTTCTTATTATTAATATTATGTCAACACTAATGATATTTTGTTCAATTTCTTTCTACATTTAATCATCTTTTTAACAAAATAATGAAAATGTTAATTTACTCCAGACTCATAAATATATGAAAATGTTGATTGAAATATTGAGAGGTTGACAGAAATATATTACCCTTAATGTACAAATAATATATATAAATGGTAAATATTATTGAAGAATCTTGTCAATAGGCAAAATTACTATTTCAATTTACCGTCCATCCACTCGTAGTTTTCTTACTTTACATGTTTTCTTTAGATATCAGTTAATTGTCTCACTCTCTCGAGTAGAAGAAAAGACATATCTAAATTAGCAAAAACTACAAGGACTAAAATGGTAATTTACCTTTAAAAAAATGGTAATTTAACATATTTGAATAAATATTGATATTTTGATGACGTGTCTTGTTTTGCTTTACACCTACTCCTTTGTCCCTTAGCCTTAAAATAAAAGGTGAAATGTCCATTGCAACRTTATAAGTTGGAATAATTTCTGACATTTGATAGATGTGAACTTAAATGGTCCTCGTGGATGCCATGTCTTTTACAAATAATATACAAACAAAAACAATTGGTGCCTCTTGAATCATTAAAAGTTCAGAGGCCTCACTTTTTTGTTTTGAAAATTGAAATTTGTYGAAGCTGTTTGGTAATGGTCCGTTTCTTATTTCTCGCTCCCAATTTTCTTAAGAAATTTAAGTATTTTACAATTAACTTTATTTCTTGTTTTTCATTTTTTTTGGAACATTCTCACAATTATATAGAAATTTTATAAATAATCGAAATAAGTTTCTAACCTCTTTGGACCAAATGAGCCACTCGATGGTTAGGAAAAAACTATTTTAATCTTAATCATTAGTTTCTTCTTCTTTTTTTTTTTTTTAAATAAGTTAATTAACAAAAGTTTGATATATATATCATTTGTTTATTTATTTGGATCAAGAGATCCTTAGACAAACTACAAGTATTTGAAGTTCACTGTAGTAAGTTAGGTAGTGTCGGGTTTTCAAATGGATTTAAGTTCTTAGATTAATATAAAATTAACAATAAAGACAAATTATTTTTACCGAAAGTTTTGGGCAAAAATAAATATTTAGAAAGATGAGGGACAACACTAAAACACTTAAAATTCATGGATACGAACTATCAAAATAGGATATACTTATTTTTTAAAAAAAAATTAATTATCATGAAAAAGTATTCTTAAATTGTTAGCTAAATTTAAAAAATAGAGACAAACTTTAGGAAAAAAGGGATTTTGTCACATATCCTAGTCTAGAAAGACTTGTTCAAGAATCAAAATGCATACTTGAAATTCATGTGCTGTAAACTACTTTATGATTTTGATTCAAATGTCTTGTATTTTTTAAATTAATATGAAAAAGAAAATCAATGAAAATACCATAAAAAAAGATCCTTTMAAATAGTTCTAAAATTTGATTTTTTTAAAATTCCAAGAAGTCATGAATAGAAAATATTTTAAAATTAATCTATAAATTTATTTTTTCTAAAATAATAGACCCAAAAGATTATAAATTATTAGAAAAATTCTAGGATCATATCTTTTGTTTTTCCTCCCTTAAATTTCTGGACAATGGTCCACCTCGACATCACTAAATTGATTAAGACATATTTCCTACCAAAAGATTATGGTATCGAATCTCTCGTTAACGAAAAAATAAAATAAATATCTCCAACAAATGGTTCCTCCCTTTGTAGAGTTGTGTGATTGAGATGCTTTACGTTGGGCTTCTTTGTAAGGATGGAATTGATGGGTAGCATTTAATTGTCTTTTTCCCTTTATAGAAATAAAATGTCTTTTTCTATTTTCCAAGATTTTTTTGGTTGAAATTGTTGATTAAAACACTTCATATATTGATAGGAAATTAAGCTATATGTCCTTATTTACACCCTTAAAAAAAGTCAAAAAATTTATAAATCCAAAAAGTGGCCACCCAATTTTCAGGATAGATTTCCCGGGCTTTTCATTTTTACCCTCAAAGTCATATCAAATATCTCAAAATTATTACCAACACCAGCTCATTAGTAATTGATATGGGTTGATAGATGATTTTCAAAGAGGTTCACGTGTTCCTCGAACGAATAGTTTCGMCAACGATTAAATGAGCCTGCAACCAGAAAATTACTCGACGTGGGTGTGGTTCCTGCCTAATACACTTCGACGTGCAAGTTAGTGATCGGAGCAAATAGGAAAAGACACTAGGGTTTAGTACAAATTTTTCACTTATTTGGTGAAGGTGAGCCAAGTAAAGGTGGTGCTTCCCTTTTATAGGCTCGGATGGTCGACTATGAAGGACGGTGGTTGGAATGACAGGGGCAAGTCGGGCTGTACAGCATCTAACGGGGGTGTATGCTGCCGACAATTAGTGGATGGCGCCTTTGCTTGTGGGTCTAAAACCTGTTGCTGTCCGGTTGTGGTGCTCGACGTGCTCCCCATACAGTGGGAGTGGAAGCRCGCCCTCCTGCCACTGTAATGTACGACGGATAACTGTCTGTGGTCYCGCACCTCGCAGCAACTAACGCATGTCCTGCTCGATTTTACCTTCAACAGACATCTACTATTCTTCTTTAAGATCAGAGGCTCGAATCCATACCTCCAGTTTGTTGTATTCAAAATTGCTTTCTAAGCTATCTTAGATTTTAGGTTATCAAAATCAATTTAACCTTCCTAGATTTTCGATTTTCAAAATCTTCATCGGAATTATTTATTCGTATTTTAATAATTAGTTTATTCTAATCATTATCAATTTTTTTGTAGCCTAACTTCTAAGTTTGGAAGTTCAGTAATGTTTTCACTCCAGACGATACCACATGTTGAATAAATGACTTCTCAATTAGTCATAATTCTATAAAATAGTACATCAGACTAGTTTTAAATGTAACCCTTCATAGTCAAAACGAGCATAACTCGAAAGTTATACATAATAACTTCTTCAATCAAGAGGGCGTAAGTTCGATCAATCACTTCTGCRTGATTTTGATGTCGTTCAATAACATTACATAGGAAAAAAAATATATTAAATTTTATGCCGAATCTAGAAAACACAGAATTTTCAATTTGTTCTCCATAAAATTTACGCAGTCTCCCCCTCTGTACATGATATTTACAAATTACATGGTCAATTTTTATACTTTAATTTAAGACTTGTTTCGATTGGTTTTCTTAATTTTAAATTTTGCAACGGATCATTTCAATACATAATTTATGACACATTTACCCTCTATGATATAGGGTAACTTATTTACTTGTAACTTTTTACCATATACAATGGAATTGATCATTTTTTTTTTTTAATACCTTATCCTACATTTCACTTTTCTATCTACTCTTACCTTTCTAGTCTATATTAATATACGCCACATATTTTGTTATGGAGAMCAAAAACGACCTGAAACGGGACAATGAGTTGAAGCCTGAGATCATCGATTGGGGGAGACCGGCCCATGACGTAACGGGCCGGCCCAAAGAACGACCTAGCGCCGAGGCAGAGAACGAGGAAAGCGATCGGCGGAGAATTAACCGGGCCGAGAAGGCTCGGTCCCGACCCCTGCTCGGTCTTGACCCCTGCTCAGCCCACGGCCCAACCCATGAATCTCCTGCCTACGATCTACGATCCACGCCGAATTAGGGTTTGACTACRGAAGTTCTGGAATCATCTTTACGGCTATAAGTAGCAGTGAGATCCAACCCTGAGGAGGCAGGTGACTAATCCTTAGCTAATTATTTTCTCAACTCTCCCTCGCTAACTTAAGCATCGGAGCCCGTGTGACTAAGGTCACACCGGTTTAGATCGGTTTGATTTTGCAGGTATCGGTTTCCTTATCATCGAGTTTGGTGTATGCGAGAAGAAGAGTCGGAGGGTMAAAATYCACGCATCAACATATTTTAATATTTACTCTTACCCTATTCTCTTATGTATACTGGATTATATACACCGTTACGTTTTACCATGTCATTTTTTCCTACCTTTTTAACTGCCTTTCTTCTTCTTATCTACCTTTTTCCTTGGCAGATAGGAGCTTCCAAAAATTGTCAAATCTATTATATTTGCCCATTTTACATATTCAYGTGACTCTAACGTTATCCAATATTATATTAGACTTTGAAATATTATGAA